CTGTATGACAAATTGATGTCAACTCATGTCCCATGATGTAGCCAAGGCAAGTTTATCTGTGTGACAAATTGATGTCAACTCATGTCCCATGATGTAGCCAAGGCAAGTTTGTCTGTATGCCAAATTGATGTCAACTCATGTCCCATGATGTAGCCAAGACAAGTTTATCTGTATGACAAATTGATGTCAACTCATGTCCCGTGATGTAGCCAAGGCAAGTTTATCTGTATGACAAATTGATGTCAACTCATGTCCCATGATGTAGCCAAGACAAGTTTATCTGTATGACAAAGTAATGTCAACTCATGTCCCATGATGTAGCCAAGGCAAGTTTATCTGTATGACAAATTGATGTCAACTCATGTCCCGTGATGTAGCCAAGGCAAGTTTATCTGTATGACAAATTGATGTCAACTCATGTCCCATGATGTAGCCAAGACAAGTTTATCTGTATGACAAAGTAATGTCAACTCATGTCCCATGATGTAGCCAAGGCAAGTTTATCTGTATGACAAATTGATGTCAACTCATGTCCCGTGATGTAGCCAAGGCAAGTTTATCTGTATGACAAAGTAATGTCAACTCATGTCCCATGATGTAGCCAAGGCAAGTTTATCTGTATGACAAAGTAATGTCAACTCATGTCCCATGATGTAGCCAAGGCAAGTTTATCTGTATGACAAAGTAATGTCAACTCATGTCCCGTGATGTAGCCAAGACAAGTTTATCTGTATGACAAAGTAATGTCAACTCATGTCCCGTGATGTAGCCAAGACAAGTTTATCTGAATGACAAAGTAATGTCAACTCATGTCCCATGATGTAGCCAAGGCAAGTTTATCTGTATGACAAAGTAATGTCAACTCATGTCCCATAATCTGGCCAAGGCAAGTTTGTCTGTATGACAAATTGATGTCAACTCATGTCCCATGATGTAGCAAAGGCAAGTTTATCTGTATGACAAAGTAATGTCAACTCATGTCCCATGATGTAGCCAAGGCAAGTTTATCTGTATGACAAATTGATGTCAACTCATGTCCCGTGATGTAGCCAAGGCAAGTTTATCTGTATGACAAATTGATGTCAACTCATGTCCCATAATCTGGCCAAGGCAAGTTTATCTGTATGACAAAGTAATGTCAACTCATGTCCCATGATGTAGCCAAGGCAAGTTTATCTGTATGACAAAGTAATGTCAACTCATGTCCCATGATGTAGCCAAGGCAAGTTTATCTGTATGACAAATTGATGTCAACTCATGTCCCGTGATGTAGCCAAGGCAAGTTTATCTGTGTGACAAAGTGATGTCAGCTCATGTCCCGTGATGTAGACAAGGCAAGTTTATCTGTATGACAAATTGATGTCATCTCATGTTCCATGATGTAGCCAAGACAAGTTTGTCTGTATGACAAAGTGATGTCAACTTATGTCCCGTGATAGCCAAGGTAAGTTTGTCTGCATGACAAATTGATGTCAGGTGTGTCACCTTTTGTATGGTGTCAAAGGTTCCCAATGTGAACTGGTGCCATTACATGAGGTAAAGGAACTAAGATGAGAGTCCATTTACTTGCTAAAGCCTTCCATCACGGCACACTGACTGACAGCATTGTCACAGGATTTGGAATTAGAACCATAATGGAAACCAACTATCCAATTCATTACCCCTTGCACAAAAGTGAAGCACACAATGCATTCACTTCCTTTTTGTAATACCTTAATTCCATAATGCTCAATCATGTGACATCAGCAGTTTCTTTAGTTTTCAGTGGAGTGACTTCAGGTTCAGCCCAGGATTTGTTGATTTATTTGTTCCATTATGTCATAGAATATTTTAAATTCAGCAGATTTAATGTGATTCATGCAGCCATTACATTTTCCCAAGGGTAGGTAGATGGAGCACGGGATGGATTGTATTTCTTCCTCTAGTGTCTCCCCAAGAAGATGGATGATTGTACTTACTTAAAAAAAGGGTACAGTGTCCTGTCTACTGTTCAGATGGCCATCCCTTAGCCTTGCTGAGGCTATCTGCTGTTCAGAGGGCTGTCCCTTAGCCTTGCTGAGGCTATCTGCTGTTCAGAGGGCTGTCCCCTTAGCCTTGCTGAGGCTATCTGCTGTTTAGAGGGCCATCCTTTAGCCTTGCTGAGGCTATCTGCTGTTTAGAGGGCCATCCTTTAGCCTTGCTGAGGCTATCTGCTGTTCAGAGGGCCATCCTTTAGCCTTGCTGAGGCTATCTGCTGTTCAGAGGGCTGTCCCTTAGCCTTGCTGAGGCTATCTGCTGTTTAGAGGGCCATCCTTTAGCCTTGCTGAGGCTATCTGCTGTTTAGAGGGCCATCCTTTAGCCTTGCTGAGGCTATCTGCTGTTTAGAGGGCCATCCTTTAGCCTTGCTGAGGCTATCTGCTGTTTAGAGGGCCATCCTTTAGCCTTGCTGAGGCTATCTGCTGTTTAGAGGGCTGTCCCTTAGCGTTGCTGAGGCTATCTGCTGTTTAGAGGGCTGTCCCTTAGCCTTGCTGAGGCTATCTGCTGTTTAGAGGGCCATCCTTTAGCCTTGCTGAGGCTATCTGCTGTTTAGAGGGCCATCCTTTAGCCTTGCTGAGGCTATCTGCTGTTCAGAGGGCCATCCTTTAGCCTTGCTGAGGCTATCTGCTGTTCAGAGGGCTGTCCCTTAGCCTTGCTGAGGCTATCTGCTGTTTAGAGGGCCATCCTTTAGCCTTGCTGAGGCTATCTGCTGTTTAGAGGGCCATCCTTTAGCCTTGCTGAGGCTATCTGCTGTTTAGAGGGCCATCCTTTAGCCTTGCTGAGGCTATCTGCTGTTTAGAGGGCCATCCTTTAGCCTTGCTGAGGCTATCTGCTGTTTAGAGGGCTGTCCCTTAGCGTTGCTGAGGCTATCTGCTGTTTAGAGGGCTGTCCCTTAGCCTTGCTGAGGCTATCTGCTGTTTAGAGGGCTGTCCTTTAACCTTGCTGAGGCTATCTGCTGTTCAGAAGGCCATCCTTTAACCTTGCTGAGGCTATCTGCTGTTCAGAAGGCCATCCTTTAACCTTGCTGAGGCTATCCGCTGTTTAGAGGGCCATCCCTTAGCCTTGCTGAGGCTATCTGCTGTTCAGAGGGGCATCCTTTCACCTTGCTGAGATCTGCACTGATTATGACCCTTGGTTTGTCAGTGGTAGACTGAGGCCTGCAGATTTCACCAAAGTGATCCTCATCACTTCAGTGCTTGAACCTAAACACTGTGATATACCAACTCAAAGCGGCATTGGATGGAACACACCCTAACATGGTGTTTAAGCATTACGACAGAGCTCTATGTGAAGTAAAACAAAGAGCAGCTCATACAAGCCAAATGACGCTCAGGACATCTTAAAGATTGCCATTGAGGCATGCTAATATGCCGGAACACATAGACAAACTAAGAGTCTATAATCCCTTTCGCGATTCCATGTCATAACCCTAACATTTTAAAAAAGGCTTTCAAAGGATCTCTGGATTGGAAAATGTAGTCTGCATCATGACTGGAATATATATATTATGAAAAAAAAATCTACGCTATGTCTACTGAAGCATGTGTAGCCAGCTCTACCTAGCTCTATTCCTCAAATCAGCATCAGGAAATTTATTTGTTTAGTTTTAGAGAAGAGAAGAGTATTGTGTAATATAAGATTTCATAGACTAAATGTTAGTTTACAGAGAATGTCAAGGACCTCAGCCCGTACTAACACTGATACACACCAGTATGATATTTAGTGATGATAGTTCAAAGCAGATCCAATATGTGCCAGACACTTGTGATAGTGTGCTTAGATGTTGGATCTACTTGGAGGTCACGTTATGAATGATCATGTACTCGACTGCATTCTTTGACATAGCATGATATGGAATAAATACCTTGGATTATGAGCATGGTCAGTCAAGGCATTACAATGAAACTTACAGTACAAGTTCTATATATATCTTCTGTCTTTATCAATATCAATAGTGTTTGTTAGTTGATTTTTTAATTTTCATGTTCATTGAAGATATAGGTTAATCTGAGTTATTTTATCATTTTTACTTTTTAAAAAAAAGCTTTAATGTATTCGTGACGTACACATGTTTTGAATTATTCTTTGTGGGAACCTTTTTGGTTTGGGAAAATGAGTTCCTTTCATTTCGTTTTGTTATGTTTCTTGTAGATCTCATGAAAGCGTTTTATTAAGGCCCTTACTGAGGATGTCATTTGGTTGGAATTAGACAGGGAAATGTTAGTATGATATGCTGGTCGCGGCAAGCTGAAGTCGAAGGCAGCGTGGTCGCTTGACTGGCGGTTTGCATGATGGTGAACAGCTAGGTCTATCGGCTTTGGACAGATTCTCATGATGGTCGGGCACTGAGCTGTAAGAGGACTAAGACATCAAAGGTTCTGTGTGATGTCCTCGTGTACATGAAGCATTCAAGAAAATGGCTGCTGTTAATGGAATCGTTTGTTTTGGGTAGCTGGGTTTGGGAAGAATTTCTGCAAAACATCACTGTGGATTGTTTATTACTGATGTGCTGGAAGTTGTGTGAATATTGATGCTGGAGCATTGATTTGTCCCGAGGGGGGATCGTGCTGGTCTAACATTTTGGGTGAAAAATGTAATTATAGTTAGTTCATCATTGAAAATGATGCCGATGCTATATAATCCATGCTGTAGTGGATGAGGTTGTTGCCTGCGGAAAACATGTTAGATTTCTGTTGTATGTCACCATTCCACTCACTCACTCACTCACTCACTCAGATACATACATACATACATACATACATACATACATACATACATACATACATACATACATTGTTGGTGTTTTATTAGATAGGTTGGATTTTCTTCAAACCATTTCTGGACACTCCCATCAGTTTCAGAAACAGTGCAAACCACACAATCCCTTGATTCTGGAAGGGAAAACTATGCTATAGTTACATGTTTTCAGACACCTACAGCATAACTTCTGAAAGTATTTCATATTTGTTTTCTTGTTTTTGCAGATTTTACCGCAGTATAATGCAAAGCCTGAAACGGCGACTTAGTTTTCGGAAGAAAAAAGACCATGTGCCTGAATGTTCGAAACCCCACCAATGGCAAGAGGATGAGAAGAAGGTGCGAGATGGCACATGCAGCTTCCAAGTCCGGGTGAGTCCAGTGCCACTTAGGTGCAGTGGGGTAGTCTAGTGGTTAAAATGAAGTCTTGTCACGGAGAAGACACATGTTTGATTCTCCACCGCTCCATCTGCTCAACAACCCCCCACTCGGCTACTCACTCATGTGACTTTGGTGTCAGTGAGGTTCTGGGACAGAATAACTGGTCTCCTGTATCCAAGCTTGTATGTGCTGATTACAAGGAGGATGGTGTTGTTATAGTGTGACATTGTACCCTGGTGTGCATCATTGCGGTTGATGTACATGTCAACCACTGTGTGGCTTGACTAGATTAATTACAGGCCACCATTATATTGCTCTGCTTCCTAGGCAAGGGCGTTAACTGACTATAAAAGTCCTGTTCCCACCCTTGCTGAGCTTGGCTGGAATTTCAATGTTCGATCAGAGCGCCACCAGTGGCTATTATGAGTTATGTCCCTTGAATGTCCTTCGTATTGACAATCAGATTTCATCACTCATATCACTTGCATTTGCATCAAACAAAATAGCAGCACCCAGTCAAAACGATCGATCAGTAATCAAGATCTATAGTTTAATAAAACGGGTCTTACCCTGCGAATTGCATCAAATCACTTCGGCACCTTGATTAAAACCATGAAAAGATTAGTAAATATCTGTTGACGCCCAGTTGATGATACCCATGCTTTTCAAATCCTGCAGTCGACCTAAATCTGCACATTGAAATCCATGTTGTTTACGAGCTGGATGTCTTGTTCATTACACGATTATGATTGGACTATGCAATGCATAGACTCGTCAGTCCAGCTGAAATGTAACTATGGAATTCCAGACTAGTTTGGCAAGGGTGGAAACTGGACTTTTATAGTCAGTTAACGCCCTTGCCTTGGGAAGATGGCTATTGCTGAAGTATTTCTGACTGCAGTGTAACACAACATTCACTCATGTCAATCACTTGTAATCTAATGACATTGCCCCACTGAATTGTTGCTTTTACAGTCAACCATTGATTACTTAGGAAGCTTTTGAGGCTAGAAGAGGTGTTAGCACCTCTGTCTTTAGACTAACATTTAGTAAATATATAATTTTGATAGAAACAAGCAACTCTGTTTACACTGAAAAGGAGCTCCAGTGAGATGAGAGATTCTCTTGAAAATCTAGACTTGCTTCATTTAGGGCTATAGGGTTACAGTAAGGGCTGGGCAGAAGGGAATATAATATGGTTCAGGGACTGTGAGACAGACTTCACTGTCCTGATCACAAGATGCAGTTTCATTGGATTGGATTTATTGGCTTGGTGCTACATTTAACTGTGTGTTGGTTCCAAATTCACATGAGTGTTATTATGTCTACAGGTAACCTAGCTCTACATGCAAATACAAAATGTCTATCTGTCAGTTGTCTCATGAATACTTTTAAGCAATATTGCTATGATGACACTAATTTGACACAGTCGGGTATGCGGTCAGGTAGCCTAGTGGTTAAAGCGTTCGCTCGTCACGCCGAAGACCCGGGTTCGCTTCCCGACATGGGTACAATGTGTGAAGCCCATTTCTGGTGTCCCCCACCGTGATATTGCTGGAATATTGCTAAAAGCAGCGTAAAACCATACTCACTCACTCACTCAGTCCACCATTCAGTCATTTGCTAAGTCTATCAACAACTTGGGATTCCAGGCTAGAATCGATCAGCAACCCATGCTTGTCATAAGAGGCAACTGAATGGATCAGGTGGTCAGACTTGATGTCTTGGTTGTTTATGTGTCACCGTATTCCGATGGTGTGGCTTGTTGCTCATAATATCAACCACTGGATTGTCTGGTCCATATTAGATTATTTTCAAGCTGCCATCATCTAGCTGGAAAATTAATGAGTGTGGGGTATAACACCAAACAAACAAACAAAACAGTATGGACACAAAGCCATGGACACCACCTGTGTGTCCTGGAACTAGACAGGAACTGTTGCTCATAAATGATTAAACCTGTGGGATCCTAAGAGAACAATTCTGTATCCCCTTTCCCTCCCTCATTCACACCCTTGGGCACGCTGAAAACATTTGATTGTGGGTTCTAATCCTGCTTTGTCCCGATTATGTTTCTAGGTTTGTCAGCACCATAGCATTGCTTGTGGGTTTCACCAAATTGGTAAATGTCTGAGACCTGCCTCACTTCGGCCTCTCTTCCCACATTAAGCTGACACGTCGTGATATAACTGGAATTCTGTTAAAGAGGCATTAAACCCAACTCACTCACTCATACAACCACCGTACTGAGTTGCCCAAGCCCTGTCAGTAACAACCAGCCCAGCAGCAGCCCAAACATTTGATTACATTTCCAACACAAACAGATAATTTCAGTTGTTTTAGAATGTGACTATTGGGAAGAGGAGACCAAATATATTTACAAAGGATTATATTTTTTGTGTCTTATCTGAATCCTCTCACTTCTTTTTTCAATGAACTGTCCATTAACCCTAATACCTTCCTTGACAGTATCTCGGCTGCATCGAAGTTTTCGATTCTCGGGGGATGCAAGTTTGTGAAGAGGCTGTGAAAGCTCTAAAAGCTGTAAGTATTTTGTTGTTGTTTTTTCATGATTCCGAAAGTGTTTGACATTGATCAATCACACACCTTGAGATGACTTGATGTTCAAAGTCATGATGATCATGGCTGTATATAGAGACAGTGTCTTGTTGAATGTGCTGGTTCACAACATTAGGACTATTTAATTTGTAATTGTTACTTTAGGGGGCTATTATGAGATCATGCCAATGTCCTGAAGTGTGATTTTGCTGATGTAAATATGTTAGCCTCATATTGCCCTGAAGTTGTGATTTCCCCCACCGTGGATAGATGTGAGTATGCTGAGGGGAATTTATGAAACATGAGGAGTTAGAGTGTCGTAGTCATGAAGGCAGTGATGTGATGTTATCTTGTACAAATTATTTTCCTTACCTGATCCATAGGATAAATTGAGTGGTATTGTTGTAGATCTATGAAGGGGTTTACCTGGAATGTGATGAAGGTAATGCTTCACCTCATTAACCCTGTATAATGTTGCCCCCTTTAGGATTCTGGGTTAGATTCGGTCCCCAGCAACCTATGCTGGTCGTAAGCATTGACTTAATGGATCGGGTGGTCAGGCTCTCTGACCTGGTTGATGGCATCTCATTATACCATGATGGCATGTCATTATTCCCTGATTGCATGTCATTATACCATGATGGCATCTCATTATACCACGATGGCATCTCATTATACCGTGATGGCATCTTATTATACCATCATTATTCCCTGATGACATCTCATTACACCATGATGGCATCTCATTATACCATGATGGCATCTCATTACACCATGATGACAACTCATTATACCGTGATGGCATCTCATTATACCATGATGGCATCTCATTACACCATGATGACATCTCATTATACCGTGATGGCATCTCATAATACCATGATGGCATCTCATTATACCACGATGGCATCTCATTATACCATCATTATTCCCTGATGGCATCTCATTATACCATGATGGCATCTAATTACACCATGATGGCATCTCATTACACCATGATGACATCTCATTTTACCATGATGGCATCTCATTATACCACGATGGCATCTCATTATACCACGATGGCATCTCATTATACCACGATGGCATCTCATTATACCCTGATGGCATCTCATTACACCATGATGGCATCTCATTATACCATGATGGCATCTCATTATACCCTGATGGCATCTCATTATACCCTGATGGCATCTCATTATACCATGATGGCATCTCATTATACTATGATGGCATCTCATTATACCACGATGGCATCTCATTATACCATGATGGCATCCCATTATGCCATGATGGCATCTAATTATACCATCATTATTCCCTGATGGTGCCTTGTATAATCCCATTCTGGGAATTCCGGGGTAGAATAGGTCTTCAGCAACCCTTGCTTGCCGTAAAAGGTGACTACGCTTGTCGTAAAAGGCGACTAACGGGATCGGGTGGTCAGGCTCGCTGACTTGGTTGACGCATGTCATCGATCCCAATTGCGTGGATCGATGCTCATGATATCAATCACTGGATTGTCTGGTCCAGACTCGATTATTTACAGACCGCCGTCATATAGCTGGAATATTGCTGAGTGCGGCGTTAAACAACAAACCAACCAACCAAACCAACCCATTCTGGGACATACTTTTGTTGAAATATTACACAATGGCATAAAATATACTACTCCAAAAAAGTTATGGACCACCCGATTCTTTCCGATTACTGTCTTTAATCTGTCATAACATAACAGACTTACGATAGTAATTTAAAGAGTGGTCCTTACCTTTTTTGAGTAGTATAACACATACTCAGTCATTGTGTGGCCTATTCTGTGAAGATGTGTTCAAGACAAGTATTGGTTCCAATATGCCAAGATGGATCCACTTCACATGTGGCTGTTATGGAAGTAGTATTGACCATTTGGCAGCAGATGTTGTTCATTCTGTGGTGTGTTTACATGTACAGCAGTATCAGTAAGAGGCCCCCCTCAAGACAGCTGCTGATGTTGTGGGAGGCTGACGCATGGCACATGTTAGTATGTATTTGTTGGGATATGTAGAGCAGATGACATGGTGCTGGGGCCATGATCCATTAGTCAGGAATTGCAACTGGGGTCAGCCAAGGGTGATTTCATGTAACTAAATGGTTGCTGACTTCATAATTATATATACACATGGAGCATTGTGGCATGTGGTGTAATATAGACATGGAACATCGTGTCATGGTTTCATGTTTACATGTAGCATCGTGTCACATGGTTTTCAAATAGGCATTAAGCCAGGTGACCAATCCATTTTGAAGAAAATTAAATATTGTTTAAACCATATGAACATGGAACATTGTATCATATGGTCTTGATATATACATGGAGCCTCGTTTCATATGGTGTAATAAAGACATGGAACATCGTGTCACATAGTGTAATATAGGTATTGAACATCATGTCACATGGTCTGATATAAACAAGGAGTATCGTGTCACATGGTGTAATTTAGACATGGAACATTGTGTCACATGGTGTAATATAGATATTGAACATCTTGTCACATGGTCTGATATAAACAAGGAGCATCATGTCACATAGTGTCACATGATTTATTACTCTCCTATGAAGAACTCGACCTGTTTCACATTTATTAAACAGTGTTTAATGTCATCATATGTGGACAAGACTATTTTGGAATCAGCTCGTCTTTCGACTGGTGTGGTGGTAGCTCTATGCAACTGTGTCTGCTCAGCTCCTTGATGGATAATCTACAAATTCACATTGTGATGATACCCTTGGCCAGAGATGCTATGTTATGAGGATGAGCTAAATGAACTGTGTCCAAGATTCCTGTCACTCGGTAGTGTTCAAAATGAGCACCTGCTGTAGGCCCGTGGCAAGTAGATCTCATGTCGGACCCACAATTTCAAACTTGTATAGGTCCTTATGGCCTGCTGTAAATTTACTTTTTGAAATATTTATTACAATAAGCCGCAGTTTTTAAATGAGGGCCTGACGGGTTCAGTCAGAGCCTGCAGTTCCTAAAGTCTGTGGGTCATAATTGCAGGTTGGCTTTTTTTTATTTCAAAAACTGCATCTGGGTACAAGTTCTTGTCACTTGTTTCAGACCTGACCATCTCAATATTGATTTGAATGTTTGTTAATTAACTCTGCACTAAGCAATATTCCGGCTATATGACAGCAGCCTGTAAATAATCGAGTATGGACCACACAATACAGTGATTACACCAAAGCATTGATGTATTTATTTGGGATATGATGACATGCATCAATCAAGTTAGCAAGCCTGACCACTCGATCCCTTTAGTCACCTCTTGCGACAAGCATGGATTGCTGAAGACCAATTCCAACCCGGATCTTCACAGGATGACCATCTCCAGCCCTGTGTAACTATTACTAATTATGAATATGAATGAAACAATGTCCTCTGAACCATCTTATTTCAAAGTTATATCAATCATACCTGAAATCGCTTCACAAAGCCTTTTCTATGATTAGGAAAAAGAAAAAAATGTCTTGTGGTATCATATTTCTCTATTCTCCAAGATTGCTCCATGGTTAAATCCATCAAACCTACAGAAATAAATGAACAGATCAGAAACAAATTGGTCTCCGTCTGGGACCTGAACAGGCGATTTGTCAACCGCTGCTCTCTCACCATGAGGCTGAAATCTTATTAATGTTACATGTGACCAGACCCTGTCTAGTCCCAACCTCAAGACTTGATTGTAGATGCTTTCCCCATGGGAAACACACTGCCTTTGACATTTTTAGTGGCACCCTTCTGTATAAGCTCCCTTTAATGACAGCTTTATGGCACTGGACATTTGACATATAGAGAGTAACCGTTCTTGTAGCTGTGCAGCCATCTTATCCTGTTGAAACAGACCCTGTAGAGGGGAAGATCTCTTTTCACACACTTGTAAATATTACAACAGATTATTGACACACTTTCCCAAATATTAACAATATTATTTCATAAAATTAGCTATTTTCTTTTTTTATTAAAGATCCCTAAAGTTGGAAAAATTAAGTTGACCATGCACCACATCCCCAACATCCCTACCCCCATCCTTTTTTACCAATGCTCATGCTGTCATCCACTGGTTTGTCCATCCCAGAATGCAATGTTCCCAGGCTTGTGTCATGTGGTTGTAGTATTGCTGACTGGCATTCACTACCATCCGTTTCTCCCACACTTATGTAACAACACAGTGAATACAGGGACTATTGATAAACGTGTTTTCATCAACATTCATCAACATTAGCACCTGTGAAGATCCGGGTTGGAATAGCCTTTAAGCAACCCATACTTGTCGTTAGGGGCGACTAACTGGATCGGGTGGTCAGACTCACTGACGTGGTTGATGCATGTCATTGTATCCCACTTGCGTGGATCGATGCTCATGATATCAATCACAGGATTCTCTGCTCCAGACTTAATATTTACAGACCACTGTCATATTTGCTGGAATATTGCTAAGTGCGGTGTTAAACAACAAACAAACAAAATTCTCAACATTGGTGTACAGGTACGTTGGTATCTCCTAGAAACTGTAGCAGGTATCAGTTTGTGTGTGATGTCGACATTCTGACTGTGAATGTCAGTTATGGAATGGTTGATTTTCCTAGCTTTAGTGAGAACCCTCAAGAGTTTGAATCAATGTTTGAGCTAATGGCCTCAGCAATGGTTGTCTGCTGGTGGGATTACATTCATATCCATGCTTCGTCCTTTACACCGAATCCACAAATCTCGTTTGGCAGCGTGAATCAGGCCTATTCCTCAACTCAAGCAGAATAGTAATCAAATTCCAGTGAGAATATTATCAAACATTCCCACCGATTCCCACCACTGTTGTACAAATTCAATAGCACTTCTTTGATAGTTATTAGATAGGGGGATTCTAGGGGACTCAACATAGCAGTGGCAACTTGGGGGTACGGATCCTTTTATCTCATGATTATGTTATATTTTATTATATGAGGGTTA